AGAAAAAGTGCTGCTCATGAAATTAAGGGTTCCTACTATATATTCTTGTAGACTGGAGATAGTAATAAAAATACAATGTGTAGAATGATCTATAAATTTGTTACTTAGACATTAATCACACACACACCCCTGTCACTAGTATATATTAAATATTCAGATGTTAATTATTGTTATTAAATGTGTAGATTAGAAATAAAGAAAGAGAAGGAGTCCAAGGAGATGGCACCCAAAAATCTATACAATGGTCCTTTAATTAGAATAAAATATTCCTAGAGATAACAATACAAAGCAACAGGTCTCCTGAAGAAACTCAATTTTCTGGGTTTATACAGGGTTTTTTTTGAAGTAACTTACGGGTGTGGTGCATAATTCTGGAACACTGAAAAGAAATTAAAAAAAAAAAAGTAACTTAGCAATGGTGCTATGTTTTGTCCCCCTTTCTGTCTGGCTACAGGGTCTCATAGCTACATCCTGATCTAATTTCATTACTTTCGATTACCATAATAATGTGATTTCCTTCAGCATGGGCCAAATTTGTGGCTGTTGGGGCTTGCAGTGGTGTAGGACCCTTACTGTTATTAAGTCTCTCTGTCTCTGTCTCTCTTTTGCATACACTCATGCACAGCTCTCATTTCTCTTCTCTCAGCTCTATTTTCTCTGGGTTTATCTTTATTCTCTAATACGCAAGAAGCCACTCCCTAGGCATGAACTTCCTTTAAGCCCCATTAAACAACAAGGAATGAAGGAGAAACATGGTACTTTACTAGATGGGTGGCTTTTCAAACCTTTTGTAACCCAGTGTAATACACGTTATATTGTCAACCCAATACAGACATACATAAATGTGTATAAGTCAGCTATTTCTGCATAATAACAGCCAGAACATCTCAGGGGCATATAACACTAAGCATTTATTTTCACTCACTGGTGTGTATTGGTTAGGGTCAGCTGATCTGTGCTGGATTCAGCTGGGTTTCATGGCTGATCTTGGCAGAGCTACCTCGTGTCTGGATTGGCTGATGGTTAGCTGACATAGGCTTCTCTTAACTCACAGGAGGGTCAACCTTTTCATTCTATTAAATTTTCAACTGACTGGAGAGAGCAATATGCTTAACTCACCTAAGGATTTTAATGTTAATGTCATCCAAAAACACCTTCAAAGAAACACTCAAAATAATATTTGACCAAATATCTGAACATCCTAGAAATCAGTCAGGTTAATACATAAAAGTAACCATCACGGTCTCTTTCTGCTTTGCTTTCCTAAGATAGTAATCATCCCCAGTCTACCTAAGATTACTCCTTCACCAACACCACCTCCCTCGCCCCCAGAAGAAATGTATTGTTAACACTCTTGTTTCTGGAAGATAGGCCATATTTATCTTGTAGTTTTGTGAACTTCCAGTCCACCACTGAATACCGTCTTTGGGGTTTAATATCTCACTGCAAATAATACTGTTTTACACAAAAGTCTTAAAGTAATAGTATTTTTTTCTACAAATACACATAAAGCTATTTCAAATCCCTATGGAAAAGAATGGAATATAAATATGCATGCATCATTTTTGCCAGCTACGTGTTTTACATATTTAACTACATTTCTTTTAAAGTGAAAGCTGTCTTTTTTTTTTTTAAAGATTTTATTTATTTATTTGACAGACAGAGATCACAAGTAGGCAGAGAAGCAGGCAGAGAGAGAGGAGGAAGCAGGCTCCCCACTGAGCAGAGAGCCCGATGTGGGGCTCTCTCCCAGGACCCTGGGATCATGACCTGAGCCGAAAGCAGAGGCTTTAACCCACTGAGCCACCCAGGTGCCCCGTGAAAGCTGTCTTTTAAGGTCTTAAATTGTTGGGTTTTCAGACTAACTCAGTCTTATCTTTTTTCTTTTTCTTCCTATTTTAATAATAACCCAGAAGAAGTTTCCCTAGTTCTTAAGTTTTTTTCTGTTTTTCCACAATTTCTTAGTTTGGAGCAAAGAAGTCACAGACTGTATCTGATGAATCCAGAGGCTTTAAAATTCATTCCATCGTTACTCCACAAATATTTACATCATAATTTTGAGATACTTGGAACACAAAGATATATAACGCACAGTCCATAGCTTTTAAGGGGCTCATAACCATATGAGAGAAAAAGAGACTTATCAAAAATAATCCTGGAGGGGGCGCCTGGGTGGCTCAGTGGGTTAAGCCGCTGCCTTCGGCTCAGGTCATGATCTCAGGGTCCTGGGATCGAGTCCCGCATCAGGCTCTCTGCTCAGCAGGGAGCCTGCTTCCCTTCCTCTCTCTCTGCCTGCCTCTCTGCCTACTTGTGATCTCTGTCTGTCAAATAAACAAATAAAATCTTTAAAAAAAAAATAATAATAATCCTGGAGTTCAGAGGCTCTCTTTGTCTAGTAACATGCCCCATGTTTCTCCACTTTATAGGTGGAGAAAGAGATGCAAGAATCTCTAACCAGTTGGGCAAATTGTAATGAGTTGATAACCCAGTAAGAGAGAAAACACCAAGGTGACACCCACTTTTATAAATCTATTCCTGGGTCTGAGCCTGGCTCACAAGAATCAAGCCACTGGGCAAACTGCCACTCTAGGAACTGACTGACTCCAGCTCAGTATGACTCACCATACCTCCCAACAATCCTGCCTTTAAAAGCAGCTCATTTTCTCAAAAAAGGGCCATTTCAGATACTCTTTGTTTTCATTTCTCTAACCCTACTACTCACCTCTCTTTATTTTCATAGATGACTTTTCTTCTGACTTCAACCCTTCCCCCAACCCTAAGCCATTAAACACTCTACCACCAAATTGTAGTCTAAGCCTCTACCTGCCCTTCCCTTCCAGAGGTCAGTGTAGAGATCACATGGAAGTTGTCTCACATTTCCCTTAAGCTGCCCACTTGGTTCTCTTCTGGGAACCTAGTCAGCTTTGTGGCACTGTTCTTTGTACTGCTGGTCACTGAAAGGAAATCTGGGACAGGGTGTCCTTCAGGGAAGACATGGGCCTCGGGTAGACTACCCCTCCAGTTTACCCAGGATCACCAGTTAGACTGTTCAAATACACATGAATCTCTTCACAGGTACTTTGGGCCCGTCTTAAAGGGGCCCAAAGTAGGGCCTCTCCTATACTGTAGGAGAGAAAAGGCTAAAACTCTGCACAGAATGGGCTTCTTCCTGAATCCAAAGGAAAGCTATCTGTAGCAAACACCGTCTACATTCTGCTTCATATCCTCTTGGCCTTCTTAAGTTCTCTATGAAGATGATTTCCACACACTGAGTTTCTTACCTCAGGAACCCATGTCTCTTTCCTTTGCCTAAAGACTCGCTTCAGCCCCATGAGAGCTTGTTCTGCTATAGGCGGTGCAACACACAAGTTTGGAGGGGGAGTTACACTCATGGGGGCAATGTTCAACCAATTGGGGCTGGGGTTGGTGAATAAATGCCCCAGCCTCCTCACTGTCACTGGGACAAGTCTTTGTTGTTGCACATGGTTTCTCAGAAGATCCTCAGTGGGATTGAGCCTTGTTGCATACTCAGTGACAGTGTAAAACCACTCACTACTAACCGACTCATTAACCCCACTCAATAAAGCACACTTGCTGACTTTTCTCTCTTTTCTGTCTCACTTTTCCCATGTCCTCTTCTGTCCTTAGAATCACCTCACAAATAAACCTTCTGTGCCCAAAGCCCTGCACTCAAAGTCTGCTTTTTGAAGAAGCCCAAACTAAGATTTGAGCAATTTAGGTTTTTCAAAAAGGGAGTCCCATAACTGGAGTCAACCCCAGTCCCTCCACTGACTGCTGCTTTCAGATTTGTTCCTGTATCAGACAGCTATTGTGAACCATTTCAGTGTCTTGGACTCACTTATCTTTTACTCCAACTACTGCTGTAGCAACCAGTTCCCTGAAGCTTTCTCTAGGTGCAATCTGGCAATACCTCCCATCAGGCCCATGGAGCTTGCCTCTCACTCTCCAACTGGGGGTTGTCTGTTGACTCCATAGTGAAGAATGCTGTGGAAATCAACTGTGGTGCTCATGCTTATGCAACTCAGGAGTAATGGGGCTCATGCCTTTGGGGGAAAGTTTGAGCAGTGGGGGATAGGATCCAAATGATAAATACTACCCTCCCTTTATCTCTAATTGACATGTATTTCAAGAGACGTATTTCAGGCAACTCCTTGGCAGTCCCCTGGATTCCACAGCCAGTCACCCACAGTAGTGTCTAGTTTGGTAATGCATCTTTGCAGTGGTCTTGCATCTTTTCTGCTCCTCCACATTCCTTGATTCTGCTTCCTGGATCACACTCCTCAATAAGGAATGTATACTTAAGCCTTTGTTTCAGGCTGTTTCCCTGGTAAACGAGCCTAAGATAGTAACTTTCTTTTTTTCAGCCTCATTTGTAGATTCTTCCCTATGAAAGTTTACCAGCCTTTTGGTAAACCAAGGATGGCGTGACTCCCTGAATCCATACTTCTTGCCTCTCTAGTACAATTCTGTAAATTTGCAACATTCAATCTGAAATTACGCTCTGTAGTTTTAGAGGCTGGTGAGGGATGTCAAGTCCCACAGGTTGTGTGTGTGTGTGTGTGTGTGTGTGTGTGTGTGTGTGTGTGTGTTGGTGCATAGCTATAGGGAGATTTGACATACCTGCTCTCATTGTGGGCCCAAAATAGGTTAGGACTTCTGAGTTGGGTCCTCTCTTTGATGTAACTATCAACGTAAACTGCCCAACTGTTGCTATACTGCTGTACCTGATGAGACAAATGTGAATATGCTGTGGTGGTAGGCACCAGCTAAAGTGGCTCCTGGTGATCTGTGCTCTCAATATTCACTCCTTTGTATAATCCCCTCTTGCATGTTGGCAGGACCCAGTGACTTGGTCCTAACAAATAGAATACAGCAAAAGTGATGGGCTGACACTTCCAAGATTAGGTTAGAAAGGACTGTGACTTCCATCTTGTTCACACTTTCTCTCTGGTTCTTCTCACTTTTTCTCTCTGATGAAGCCAGCTGCCACATTGTGAGAGGTACCCTACAGAAAAGCCCACATGGCAAGGAACTGAGGGATGCCTCTAGGCAACTGTCTGCAAAGAACTGAGGCCTTCAGTGCAATAGCCCACGAGAACCTAACTCCTGCTGACAACCAGGTGAGTGAGGTTGGAAACACATTCATCCTTCAGCTGATCTTTGAGATGAGTACAGACAGTCCCCAACATATGATGGTTTACTTACAATTTTTCACTTTACAACAGTGTTGGATGAAATATTCAGTAGGAACTATACTTCGAATTTTTAATCTTTTCCAGGGCTAGCAATATGCAGTACAATGCTTTTTCATGACACTGGGCTGCAGCAGTAAGCCGAAGCCCCTGTCAGCCAAGTGATTACAAGGGTGGACAACCAAAAACACAACCATTGTTACCCACACAACCATGCTGTTTTTCACTTTCAGTACAGTACTCGATAAATTACATGATATGTTCAACAATTTCTTATAAAGTAGGCTTTGTGCTGGCTGATGTTGCCCAACTCTAGGCTAATGTAAATGTGAACATGTTTAAGGTAGGCTAAGCTATGATGTTTGGTAGTTTGCGTGTACTAAAGGCATGTTTAACATAATGGTATTTTTAATTTACAGTGGATTTATTGGAATGTGATCCCATTGTAGTCAAGGAATATATCTGTACAGCCCAACATCTTGATTGTAGCCTTGTGAGAGTCCCTGATCCAGAGGACTCAGCTAAGCCATGCTGTGATTCCTGACCCACATGAAATGTGAGATAATAATAATTATATTAATGATGTATTTTCTAAAACAAACATTAATTTTCTGGGACACTAAATCTAAAGCCATAAAGAAAAAGAACATATTTTCTGATTACATTTCTGATTTGAAATGGGCTGCCTTCCGCAACCCACTCCCCTTGGAATCAACTATTTTATTTTATTTTAAAGATTTTATTTATTTATTTGTCAAAGAGAGTGCAAGAGAGAGAGTGCACAGCAGGGGGAGCTGCAGGCAGAGGAAGAAGTATGCTCCCCACTAAGCAAGAAGCTAAGTGTGGGACTTGATCCTAGGACCTTGGGATTATAACCTGAGCCAAACGCAGATGTGTACCCTACCGAGGCACCCAGGTGTCCCTCAACTAGTTATTTTAAACTGTAGAGTATTTAGTTTTTTTATACTTTCTCTTTTGGACTTCAGATATAATAAAGGAGCTATAAGGGTTCCTCCCTTAGTTAAGTCAAGACCACTGAAATGATGGTTTTAAGTGTTTTCCTTCAAGAAAAAGAAGATTCTATCCTGATTTTATGGTTTTATGACCATCTCTCTCTATCTTTAAAGCATTTATTCAGCACACATAATTGGGAACCTCCTACTGTGTGCACCAAGTCCTCGGCCTGAGGTTGGGGCTACTATTCTATTCTATTTCACTTTTTCTGTATTTTTAATGTCTCCCTTTCCATTTGGCATCTTCTTCATGGCCTTTAAACATATTAACATTTCTTAGATTTAAAAACAATGAAAAAGAAGATGGCAGAGTAGGAGGACACTAAACTCATCTTATTCCATTGATAAGTAGATAATGCTCACACTAGCAAATAACCTAGAAAATAACCTGAAGGCAAGCAGAATAAACTCCATAACTAAATGTAGAGAAGAGGCCACATTGAAGAGGGAAAGAAAGACAGAGATAGCTTTAAAAGCTAAATGGACCTGCAGGACTGTCGGTGGGTGGACACCATGGGCATGGCAAAGGAAGAGAAACAACCCCTTACACAATGAGCCTGTATCCCCATAACATTTGGCTTTGAAAACCAGAGAGGCCTAATATTGTGTGTTCCTACAGCCAGCAGGACTTAAAACCTGGAATTTTAGAAATCAACAGGCTTGGCTTTGGGAGAGCCAGAACAAAAGATCCAAAGGAAACTGAGTCCCCATCCTTAAACAGATAACACAGTGGAGGGATGGAGGGATAGGGTAACTGGGTGATGGACATCAGGGAGGGTATGTGTCATAATGAGCACTGGGTATTATACAAGACTGATGAATCACAGACCTGTACCCCTGAAACAAGTGATACATTGTATGTTAATTAATTGAATTTAAATTTTAAAAAACAGATAACACACACACACACACACACACACACACACAAAATAGCCAGCAGAGACACAGCATGCAGTTTGAAAAATGCCTGGGGCATACAAGAGGGAGAGTAGTTTACTCATCTCAGAGCATGTCCCCAAGGGACAGAGGTCCTTGGAAGACTTCTCCAAGAATAAAGGAGCAGGCAGGCACTTTTTCCCTCCCTTGCCCCCAGCATAAACACACAGCCACCTGCAGGGACTATCCTGGTACTGATACTACCTAACTTGCTAAGACTGTCCCGCCAAACCCTTTTCCCCCTCTGCTCTGTTTTGGTGGATTCACCCTTTCCAGTCAAGACTGCCTCAGTCTCGGAGCTGCAGGGCCACTTCCACAGAGGACCAGTGACCCAAACCTTGCTAACTCTACTGCATTGCTGTCCTCCCCAGTACTCCCCTTTCCCACATTTTGTAGATCTACTCCATCCAATATGCTCTTGGCTGGAGCCTATCCTGGGTGGTGCCAAAGGCTTAGAAGTGTGCAAGCCACCCCTTAATGCCCAGCACCACTCCAAAGTGACTCTAGCCCTGGAGAGAGGGGAAGATAACCACACACACCAGTGAGAAGGAGGAACCAGTAGTGGGCTGAAGGCAGACAACTGGTATGACTGCAGGCTTCGCACACCAATGAAAGCTTTTCAGGGACAACACAGGGAAAATGCCCTGCAGTTTGGTGCTACAGCATCTTTGGCAAACACCTGGTCTGACTCAACTCAAAACTAAGGCAGCCCCAGACTGGTACACTAACACCACAGGGACCAAACACTGCCTAAAACAGGCAGAGAGCCACTGCAGATGACTGGACTGAAGGAAAAAGGGGCTCAGCCACAACAACAGGGCACATGCAACACATGTAGGAGACACACCCGAAGCACTAAATTCCAGTAAATGGGACATTGCAGGGCACGACAGAACCTCTTCTTCATAAGACCACTAAATTCTTCTTTTTTTTTTTTTTTAATATATTTTATTTATTTTATTTGACAGAGATCACAAGTAGGCAGAGAGAGAGGGAATCAGGCTCCCTGCTGAGCAGAGAGCCCAATGCGGTGCTCAATCCCAGGACCCTGAGATCATGACCTGAGCTAAAGACAGAGGCTTAACCCACTGAGCCACCCAGGTACCCCAAGACCACTACTTTCAAGAGCAGGAGACATAGCTGACTCTGAGCACAGAGAAACAGAGAGAGAGTTAGACACAATGAGGAGACAGGGAATATGTCCCAAATGAAAGAACAGGACAAAATCACAGCAACAGACCTAAGCAAAATGGAGATGAGTAATATCCCTGATGCAGAATTTTTAAAATTATGATCATAAAGATACTCACTGGACTTGAGGAAAGAGTGGTGGACATCTGCAAGAGCTTTAACAAAGTTAAGAAAGAATCAACCAGAGATGAAGAACAAAATAAATGAAATTTAAAAATAACACTAGATGGAAGAAATAATAGACTAGAGGAAGCAGAAGAACAAATCAGAGACCTAAAGGGCAGAATAATGGAAAGTAATCAAGATGAGCAGGTGACATAAAAATTATACAAAATGAGAATAAGCTTAGGAAATTCAACACAACCATCAAGTGTAATAATATTCACATTACAGGGATCCCAGAAGGAGAAGAGAGAGGAAAAAAGGGCACAAAATTTACTTGAAGAAATAATAGCTAAAAACTTGCTGAATTTGGGGAAGGAAACAAATCCAGACCCAGGACACAGAGATTCCCCAACAAAATCAACTGAGCTACCCAGGAGCCCCTCTACAAAACATTTAAAAAAGAGTTAATACGTATTCTTTTTTTTTTTTTTTAAGATTTTATTTTTTTGACAGCACAAGCAGGCAGAGTGAGAGGGAAGAGCAGACTCCCCACTGAGCAGGGGGCCTAATGTGGGTCTCGATCCCAAGAACTGTGATCATAACCTGAGCCGAAGGCAGATGCTTAATGGGTGAGCCACCAAGGCACCCCAAGTTAATATATATTCTTCTCAAACTATTCCAAAAAATCGAAGAGGATGGAAAACTCCCAAATTCATTCTATGAGATCAGCATTACCCTGATACCAAAACCAAGTAAAGACATTATAAAAGGAGAGAAAGAGAGAGAGAGAGAGAATTACAGGTCAATAACTCTGATGAACATAGATGCAAAAATCCTCAACAAAATATTAGCAAACCAAATCCAACAATACATTTAAAAAATGTTCCACCAAGATCAAGTGGGATTTATCTCTGGAATGTAAGTGTGGTTCAATAGTTGAAAACAATCAACATGATACATCAATAAGAGAAGGATAAAAACAATATGATAATTTCAATAGATGTAGAAAAAGCATTTAACAAAGTACATCATTCATTTATGATAAAACTTTCAACAATGTAGGTTTAGAGGAAACACCTCAACAGAATAAAGGCCATATGTGAAAACCCACAGCTAACATCATACCCAATGGTGAAAAACTGAGAGCTTTTCACCTAAAGTCAGGAACAAGATAAGAATGTCCACTCTCACCACTTTTATTCAACAAGTACTGGAGTCCTAGGCACAGCAATCAGACAATAGAAAAAGAAAGCCCAGAAACAAACCCACGATCATATGGCCAACTAATCTCTGACAAAGGAGGCAAGGGTATACAGTGGAAAAATGGAACAAATAGTGTTGAAAAACTGGGCAGCTACATGCAAAAGAATGAAACTGGACCACCTTTTTTTTTTTTTAACATCTACAGACAAAAACAAACAAATCTCAAAATGGATTCAGGACCTAAATGTAAGAGCTAAACCTATAAAAATCCTAGACAATAAGAGCTAAAACTATAAAAATCCTAGACAATAGCAATAATAGGCAATAATTTCTCTGGCATCAGCATAGCAACATTTTTCTAGATATGTCTCTTGAGGCAAGGCAAACAAAAACATAAATAAACTATTGGGACTACATAAAAATAGAAACCTCTACACAGCAAGGGAAATAATCAACAACATTAAAGGACAACCTAATAAA